TAATTAGTTACTCATTGTGTTTCCTCTCCTTGGGCTTTCCTTTCTCCCCCAGAACCCCAGCCTCCACTCTCCATTCTCTTAGATCCCTTCTTTCCTTCCCCGCTTTGAAAGTCTGGGCAGTGGAAAAGACTGGAATTGGAGATCTGGCCAGCAGCCAGCAAGGGACGGGGAGCACCTGTGGGGTCAGCCCAGGGTCACATCTGCTTCCCCAGGGAGAGAGGAAGTGAGGCTGCTTGTGCTCTCTGCCCCACTCCCTCCAAAAGGCCCCCCCCCCTTTAACCCCTCTATTTGCTGGGAAGATCAGGGCTTATTATTTTTTTTTAAATTTTTTTTTAACGTTTATTTATTTTTGAGACAGAGAGAGACAGAGCATGAACGGGGGAGGGGCAGAGAGAGAGGGAGACACAGAATCTGAAACAGGCTCCAGGCTCTGAGCCATCAGCCCGGAGCCCGACGCGGGGCTCGAACTCACGGACCGCGAGATCGTGACCTGAGCTGAAGTCGGACGCCCAACCGACTGAGCCACCCAGGTGCCCCGATCGGGGCTTATTTTAAAAGCAACAAAGGCATCTGTCATCCCTGCATCGTTTGCTCAGGGCTGCTCTTTGTGGAAGGGCTCCTCACAGCCCCTGTGAAGGAAGCCACCTATGCCGTGGCCGCCCTCAGTGCTGGTCAGGAGCTTAATTAGTCTGGACTGAGACGGAGGAGACACTGTCCTCTTGACCCAGTTCTGGGGAGAAATCCTGGAGCCTCATCAGCTCTGAGTGTCTGCCCCTCTACCTACAGCACCAACTTCCCATGGTTGTTTTTTTTTTTCTTTTCTTTCCTCTTCTCTTCTTTTCTTTTTTCTTTTCTTTTCTTTCTTTCTTTTTTTTTCTCTTTCCTTCTCTTCCCCCCTCCTTCTTTCTTTTCTTTTTTTAAGTTTCAGGGTCTTGGGGCACCTGGGTGGCGCAGTCGGTTAAGCGTCCGACTTCAGCCAGGTCACGATCTCGCGGTCTGGGAGTTCGAGCCCCGCGTCAGGCTCTGGGCTGATGGCTCAGAGCCTGGAGCCTGTTTCCGATTCTGTGTCTCCCTCTCTCTCTGCCCCTCGCCGTTCATGCTCTGTCTCTCTCTGTCCCAAAAATAAATAAACGTTGAAAAAAAAAAATTTTAAGTTTCAGGGTCTTAATTGTGCCAGGGGTTTTGGTCTAGGTTATTGGTCCCCCAACTCACTCCTGAGCTGTCCCTCAGTCTTGTCCGTGTGGCCCTGGGGAGGTGTGGAGGCTCTCTGCTACTCTGTGGCACAGAGACCTTGGAGCCCCTCTAGGGCTCTGTCCACACAGGCACTCCCTCTTGGGGGTCTGCATCCCTGGGGCTTTGCCGCTCTTGGGACCCATGTCCTATTTTGTTCTCATTCTCTCCCCTCCAACACCAGTCCAGACAAAGCCTCTGCTAGATGTTTTGGTTGTCACCTACAGGCTTCTGTGTTCTTCCCAAGTGTTGAGGCATCAGGTATTGGAAGCTGGGCGTTCTCAGACTGGTCTCAACTTTCTGCCCTTTCACTGCTTTCTTGAGGAAAAGAATGTGGATCTCAGGATCTGCTTAACAGGGGCAGACAGCAAAGGGGGCAGATATCTGAAACTGTGACCCCACCTCTGAGCACTTGTCCCAAGGCACAGAGCGCAGCATGCTGTAAGTGACTGTTCAAACCCAACGAGTGAGCGAGAGAAGGTGTGCATGCAGGGTGCTTGGCCTAGAGCTTCCAGACTTGGATTCAGACTCTGCCCTGGCTGACTGCCCCTGTGCATCCCAGGGACCACATCCATAAAGGAAGGAAGGGATCAGATCATCTCCTGAACTCCTGCCAGCCCCCAAACTCTAGATTTTATATCCACAGAGGATAAAGAAAAAGGATATTTATGCCATCATCCCACGGAACTTGAGCAGAGAAGAAACCTTCCTGAATAATTCAGGCTCACATACACAGTTGCCTCCAAATATTTTTCCCTTCTGTTGAATGCCATCTCCCCCACACCCCCAGGCAGTGTGATGATCAGGGAAGTCTGAGCTGAGCTACTGCTCACCGTGGTGGAGGAGAACTCCACTCCTCAGGGTCTCTCCCAGGGGAGGACAGAGTTGGGGTCTTTATTGAGACTTTGAAGCCTGGTTTAAGGTGGCTCTTTCAAGATGGACGTAGCATGTTTGACTAGGAGTGGTAAGGATCGTGATGTAATAACGAGTTGGATTTGGTGAATACAGTGAAGTGTAGATTTCCAGCTGAGGGCTTCAAGGAGCCTTGGGGTATAAATTTTCTTTTGATGCTTCCTGTGCCAGAGATGATCTGTCTTTCAGGAATAGGAAAGTCACTTGCAACTTTTATCTTCCTGGGCAAGAATCTTCTGGAATAATAGTAAAGTTATGTTGATGAAGACACTGGGACAGTAAGGTCATGTTGGTATAGACAAGCTGTGGGTGGTTTGGTTCTCATCCCAAACTGCCTTTGTTAGCTGTCTGCATGACAGGGGTGTCCCCTCCATCCTGCCGTGAACCCCGGAGGCCAACGCGCGTGTCTGTATCTCTTCCCCCTTACCTTCTTGCTTCCAGTTGGCCCTGGCCAGTGGGGAGAGGGGAGGATAGAGGGGTCAGAATACTCATTTCTGTCCAGTTGGGTGCTTCCTGCTATTTGGGCTCCCAGCTCCCATTAGGTGACAGGTGACCTTCTCAGTCCCCTTCTTCCCTCTCCAATTGGCTGAACTGCCCCTTCTGTTTGTGTTTGTGTTGTCTGGCCTGCAGGATCCCAGCTACTATTGTCATATGGCTTTTCCTTTTATTTCTTATTCCCATTGATCACTTGTCACTTTTCTTTTTTTTTGTTTTAATGTTTATTTATTTTTGAGACAGAGAGAGACAGAGCATGAGCAGAGGAGGGGTAGAGAGAGGGAAACACAGAATCCAAAGCAGACTCAAGGCTCCAAGCTATCAGCACAGAGCCCAACGCGGGGCTTGAACCCACGAGCTGTGAGATCATGACCTGAGCGGAAGTCAGACACCCAACCGACTGAGCCACTCAGGAGCCCCACTTGTCACTTTTCTAAGGGCATTTCCATAAAAATTGCGTGGAGAGTATACATGCTATTGGAGATCAGTGGTGAACTAAAAAAAAAAAAAAAAAACACAACTAACCAAATGTTAATTTTTTATTAATAAAATTTCAAAATAAGATGGTTTTCACAGAAAGCTAAAACCATGACCCACATATAGATATAAATGAACACACGTTAAAGACTTTATTGAGCTCATTATTTTTTTAAGTTCTTTTTTAGAGAAAGAGAAAGAGAGAGAGCATGAGGGGGGAGGGGCAGAGAGAGGGAGAGAATCTTGAGCTGACTCCATGCTCAGCACGGAGTCCGACTCGGGGCTTGATCCCATGACAGCGAGATCATGACCTGAGTCAAAATCAACAGTCTGATGCTCAACTGATTGAGCCGCCCAGGCGCCCCTTACTTAGCTCATTATTATAGAGTGCAGGTAAGATGTTACAACCATTTCAAATGAGAAGTCAGAGAAGCACAAATTTACATGGAGTAAAAGAATGTTGACATAGAAAGACATTGGTTTTCTCTTGGGGGTTAGGGAGGGAAGTCAATGAAACCTCTACAGGCCGGAATTCATTTGTACATCTGTAAAGAAGAATTATTTGCATTGCTATCAGTTGTCTATACTTTACAGAGTTGTAAAATAGTCCAAAAGCAGTGAAAGGGTCCCCTCGCATCTTAGTGAGATAACTTGGAAGGGTGTGTTCCAAATGATGCCTAGTTTCCCACTGAAGCACGCGTCTTTTCCCCATACAACATTTATAAAGCGCTCAAGGTTTGCAGGAAGTGATCCAATATGTTGGAACCGAGAGTCTGCTTGGGGGTTTAAGGTACAAAGTGCTGAGCTATTTCCCTCCACCAGCCTGATCTGTGGCATGCTGATGAGTCCTCCAAGTGACATAGGATATTTACAGAGTTCCATCCTAAAGTTTTCTTTTGGGGACAAATGTTCCGTAGCTCTAAAAAAGTTTGAAAACCCCGAAACATGCCCAGTTGCTGCATGTTATGGGAGAGAAAATGAAGGTTTGGAGGGGGAAGTGACTTTCTCTAGGGCAGTGTGATAAGGGATCTCTGCTTGGAAGGTGGATTTGAGGGCCAAGAAGGCCTTCCTTTTGGCATTATTCAGTGACACAAAGAGCTTTCCTGGAAGGAAGGGCTCAGGAGGCAGGCTGTGACAGATGGTTTTCATCTCCCTCTCACAGGCTCTGGGAAATCTGCTACTGTGCCTCTAATTGGATGTTGGGAGCTTCAAGCAAACTTGCAATCTACATTGTATCATTGTTCTATATCCCTAATTATACCTTGGACTTTGGCTTAAGTGCAGCTTAGGGGATGTTCATTAATAGTGTGGACAGGGACACTCAGCATTCATAAAATTCTTTACGGTAATTTAAGTCCCAGCACCGTTCCGGTGCATTAAGGATGCATGTTCGCTCCTAGCTGAAAGATGACTTAAGTTCAGAGAAAAGAGACTGGCTGACAGAGAGTTGTTTTTCTAAACGTCTGTTTGAATGCAAAGCTTTACAGTCTCGTGTTCATCAGTTCAAGGAAGCTCCTTGCTGAATGACATTCAGGGCTTAATCCACCAAAGTTGGAGCGATCTGCCCTTGGCATTGCATAACCATGCTCAGCTTTCTCTCGGCCATTGTGTTGTCAAAAGCCTCATATTCTTGTTTGCACGACCAGTTTAAAGAGAAGCTTTGTCTCCACAGACAGACTGTGGCTCCATCTGGCCCTGCCACCAAGAGCCGTGTGATTCCAGATGGAAAAATCTCCATCCCTCCCCCTATTTCCAGAGCAGCTCCCACCCCCATTGTTTTATCTGCAGCCAATAGCACAGACCCTGCACAAACTGTCTCAGCAGGGGCGGAAAGATCCACTAATGGGGGAACAACTCATCTTTTCTTCCATCCTTAAACCCTGTGCTGTGTGAATGGAAAACATGAACACATCTGGCTGGACTCGTTGAAACGAGGGGTGTTGGGGCAGAGAAGCTGGGGAGGGCCTGCCTTTACCACAGAAGATGTTAAGGAGAAGGCTTTTGTTGCTCTCAAGGAAAATTAGAATTTCAGATGGTGACTGGAGTGATTCAACCATCTCAACTTTTTTATTTTCTCTTCAAAAGACATTGTTCGGGAACCCCAAATATTTGGCTGGAATCTTCCGGTGATGACCAGCTTTCTTCCAGGAGGTGGGAACGGAACCCCCTTTATGTGTGTGTGTGTGTGTGTGTGTGTGTGTGTGTGTGTGTGTGTGTGTTTAGAGGAATTAACAGTGATTGAACTGGTTTTCATTCAACAATATCCACATCCACCTGCCAAGAAAGAAGGAGAGAGGATTAGGATGGGAGAAGAAGATTTCTGAATTTAAGGAGCAAAATTTCAGCTGCCAACAGAACACCTGAAGATATGTCCACTCGCTGTTCTCTACCTGTGGTCCCCTCACCACCAGGAGGCATCTGGGACTGCAGTCTCGCTGGTTTTTTCCCTCCTCTCTAGGCTACAAGAGAGGCCAGATTTTTGGTAACCTGTTGACCATGCTGAAGTTTATGTGAGCCCTGGGCTCCCAGAGAGCTATGATGAGAAACAAATTGCAGAGGACCTTCCTGCCTTCATAGATTCAGCATTCCCCACCCCCTCTTGCCCCCACCCCTATAGGACTTGTCATCTACTCTCCTCCCCACTCTCTTGCCTCTGTAAAGCCCCAGGCCCTCCTTCCTTTCCTCTGAGATGTTCCTCTGTGTTCATGAATGTCCTCCCTATTGCAACAGCCTGAATAAAGTCGTCTCCTCCGGTGCATTTTTTTTCACACTGGGCTGCCTGTCTGGGGAGTCTGAAATAGTGCCATATGCGTATTTGGAGTTGAAAAGGAGAATTATCCTACATGGTCTTGGGAAAGATGTGAACAGGACCCAGTTAATGGAGTAAAAGGCAGGATTCCTCGAAGCATGCATGCTCCTCCTGGCAATGTGTTTCACTTCAAAACTTCAGAAGCAGTTCGCTTAAGAGGGAGTTTATTAATACTCTGGGAAGCAAAACATAAATCCACACTGTGCGTGTGTGTGTAGGCGGGGGTGGGTGGCAGTGCAGGAGAGGAGGGGTGCAGGAGAAGCTCCCGGTGAGGGGGAGATTCAGTTTTGTTCCATTGCTGACAGCCTGGAAACACTGACCACTTTCCATTCAGTGCCTGCTCTCTTAGGCGTCCCTGCGGCCCGGGGCGGCTGTGTGTTTGTACAGATTTGCCATTTGTCAGGGATTGTTCAGACAATGACATCTGTTGGAGTCTGCTGGGGGAACTTGGCTTTCAAAATTGGGAAGCTTTTTGTCTTGTTAAATGGAAAAAGACAATGGCCTCTTTGCTGCTAGTGTAAGAGACCTGGGGGAGCCAGGTCTTAAAAATGCTAACTTAAAAATGCTGTTTTGGGGGCGCCTGGGTGGTTCAGTCAAGGTTAAATGTCAGACTCTTGATTTCAGCTCAGGTCATAGTCTCGAAGTTCTTGACATCAAGATCAAGCACAGAGTCTGCTTTTGAGTCTCTCTCTCCCTCTCTCTCAGCCCCTCCCCCGCTTGTGTGTGTGTGCATGTGTGTGTGTGTGTGTGTGTGTGTGTGTGTGTGTGTATTTTATTTCTCAAAATAAAGAAATGAATGTTTAAAAAAATTAAAAAAAAGAAATAGTCTATAGTGAAATGGTAATAGTCACTAGTTTAATTAAACAGAAGCATCTATAATCTCATATCCAAACATAACGTAACAAGTGTTTAGTGTTTTCATTTTTATGTATTAGATTCCAATCTCACATTTTTATAATCAGTGGCAATCCTGAATTATGTCTTTTCACTCTTAATGTTATGTCATGTAATCATTTTATTATTATACCATACTATAATATTTAATTCCACTGGGTTAGTGGAGCATATTTATTATTATTAAACCTTTCCCCTGATATTAGACATTTAGGCCCTTTTTTTCTTTTTTTATTATTGTAGATAATCCTGAAATTAACATCATTAGATATTGAGCTTTCTGTTTTTGAAGAATGAAAGATAAATAACAGAGAACTAATAAAGGTGTTCTGAAACTTTTTGGGTCAGGACCCCGTACATTTCTTCTGAGAGCCTGAAAGAGCTTTTCTTTCTATGAGATGCTTGCCTTACTATATTAGAAATTATAACTGAGAAATTTAAAATACTTAATTTTAATGTATTTTAAAATAACTATAAAAACCCAGCACATGTTAATGTGAATTACTATTTTTACAAACAGTAACTATATTTTCCAAAACAAAGAAATATATGAGAATGGCATTTTTTACAAGTCCCTTTAATGTTTACTTTATAGATTCTCACATTCACTTGTGTATTCAATCTTTTATATATATATATAATATATGTATATGTACATATATATGTATATATATGTATTCAATCTTTTTTTTTTTTAATTTTTTTTTTCAACGTTTATTTATTTTTGGGACAGAGAGAGAGACAGAGCGTGAACGGGGGAGGGGCAGAGAGAGAGGGAGACACAGAATCAGAAACAGGCTCCAGGCTCTGAGCCATCAGCCCAGAGCCTGACGCGGGGCTCGAACTCACGGACTGCGAGATCATGACCTGGCTGAAGTCGGACGCTTAACCGACTGCGCCACCCAGGCGCCCCATCTT